ATGACAAAAAAAGGAAGATCATTGTTTAAAAAAAAAACAACTCCCATAAGGAAAAGAGAATAATGGGGACCACCCCGCCGCCAAGGGCCCCTGATAGTTACCTAAAAATAGGGAGGGTGCCGGCTCAGCAGCAGACTGCATCCCGTGGCCAGCACCGCTCCCCGCCCTGGAGTCTCCCTTCATCCTTGGCCTCCATCGCTCTCCCTCCGGAAGGTCTGTCTTGGCGTGTCCGTCTCCCTTGCTGCATCTCAGAGGCACACTTGGGGCATGATCTTCCTTAGGCAGCCCCGGGCTCCAGAGCCCACCTCCTGTTCCTTTGCATCTGGAGGCCTGGGAATCGTCTGCACTGTTGCCAGCCAGATTGGGCTTTCTGTGGTCACACGTTCTCTCAGAACCTGGCCCACTCTGGTTCTGATCGCTTCCAGTCCATTTCACGCAAGTAGCACGTGGAGCCAAAGGCCTTACCCAGACACCATCCTCAGGGCCAGAGTTGCTTATTTTACTTACCTGCCACACAGTTCCCAGCCCCCAGCACTTAGAAGATGGGTTCTGACGTGAGGTGATGTCTAAGGTAATAAGCCTCCCTGGAAGCCAGCCCTCTCTCTGCCGACATCAGCACCTTTGCTTGGTGAGAAGGTCCACTTCTCCTGGGGCTGCCACTTTGAAGTCACCACTTACAACCACTCAGCTCCGGGGACAGGCGGAGTTGGGCAGTTGTGATCCTGCAGGACTCCATTTGTACACCCCTCTTTGTAGGCACTTCTGTGCAGTTGCCCAAAGGAGGAAGCAACCCACGTGTCCACCTACAAACCAATGGATGAACCGAACACGGCGAGCATGGACGACAGGAAACCAGTCAGCTGTGAAGAGGAAGGACATTCTGACACGTGCTACAACAGGAAGGTGCCCACCAAGTGAAGAAGGGTACACGTTGCAGGATCCCACTTATATGAGGTCCCTAGAGCAAAACCACGGAGATGGGGTGCCAGGTTTGTTGGAGGGCATGTGGGGAGCCAATGCCTAGCAGGCCCAGGAGTCCCCTGGGGAATGAGGGGTTCTAGAGAAGAAAGGGGGTGAGGTCTGCACAGTGTGCCCATCCCTGATGGTTCATTTTATGTTCTGTGAGTTTTGCCATGTTTTAAAAAAATCATCTTAAATAAATATGTGCACACAAAAATTACAGCCCACCGTGGAGGCACGTGAGTCAGGAAAGCAGTTTCCATGCGCCTCTGCTTGCAGCCTGGATGGAGGAGGAATTCGGCTCCCACCCCAAACCTTGCTGCCAACAGTCTGGATTCTTCTGGCCATATCCCCATTGCTACAGCCTCGGCTGGCATGTGAAACACACTGCAGGGGTTAGCAGTAGGTGACACCATCTGAACAAACGTCTGCAGATACACGGCGAGGTCACCAGCTGCTTGTCTGCAACGTCTACCAAGATGGCATCTCTCTAGCCACTTGCTTCATTCGCTCACTTTCAAATACCAGCTTCTACTGCCTGTGGCAGGCCACCCTGTGCCACAGCCCACACAGGTTAGGAGCCGTTAGGGCTCTGAGCATCAGGGATGGAGGCTTAAACATGAAAGAATTTGTTTTTGCAATTTAGTAAGACCAGAAGGAGTCACTGCTGGCATTTGTTCTGTGTCCCAGGATGTCAAGGTCAAGGTCATGGACTTTTCCCACGGTCCAAGATGCTTGCTGAGGCCCTTGACCTGTGTACCTGTGTTCTAGGAAGCAAGAGGAGGAGGGGAAAAGGCCAAAGTGTGTGTGTGTGTGTGTGTGTGTGTGTGTGTGTTCCAGCTAACTCCTTTCTTTATATTCCACCGCAAAACTTTCTGCTTGTTTCTTATTGGGCCTGAAACAGATGGGAGAAAGGTAGCTGTTGGCTGGGTACACTGATGTCTCTCCCTGCAAACCGTCGGTTCCATCAGTAGGCAGACAGGCCAAGCACTGGGCCATCAGCCTCCTTAGTGCCTCTCCAAAGAAAGCCGAGCCAGCATCTCCCAGCCCATCTGCTAACCGGTGTGTTTGGTTTTGTGCTTGGCCATTCTTAGTAGGGAGAAATTCTTTTTAGATAATCTTATTACTTTATGTATTTTCTCTAAATTTACATATGTCATCTGTATACAAAAACAAAAATTATGTGGCTACATAAGTTCCTTTAGGACAATGTATCAATTAGCATTCTCTAGAGATATAGGGCCAATAGGATGAATGGATGGATAGATAGATGATTGATAAATGATAGATAATAGAAAGACAAGCAGATAAATAGAAGGGTAGATGGATGGATGGATAGATAAATATGAATAAAATTTATTTTAAGTCATAAGTTCATCCATCATTTGGAATGATAAAAAAAAAAATCCAGGGCAAGTCAGCAGTCTAGAAACTCGGGCAGAAGTGAGTACTACAGTCTTGGGGCACTATTTCTTCTTTTTCAGGAAACTTCCATTTTTCCCTTATGGTCTTCAACTGATTGGATGAGGCTCACCCACAAAGTCAGTCTTTCTTACAGTGAACTGGTTGTAGATGTCAACCACATCTGCAAAGCACCTTCACAGAAGCACCCACTTTACTCTTTTATTATATACCACGGACACCATGCCCTGGTCAAATTGACGTACACCTGACCATCAGGCAGGTGACAGGATGTAGGGGAAATGGCACTAACATGGGGCCAGGGGCTTGAGTTCAAGTTCCGACTCTGGTCTCTGACAGCAATGCCTCTCTTCTCTGGGCCTCATCCCTTTGCCTGGACAGTCAAGGCCTGGGTGAGAGGGCCTCTGGGTCCCCCCGAGACGAGTACAAGCTCATGCCTCAGGAGGGGCTCCCCGTGAGAGATGGTAACAGCAAGGTTGATGAGGATTCTGATAAAGGAGAGAGAAGAAAAAGCCAGGGCCGGCTGTGCCCTGGGCCAAGGATGGTCAAACCCACAGGCTACAGGGCACACTGTGGCCTGAAGGAAGCCGTCAGGGAACAGTGACGTTAGTTCTCACCAGTCCAGTGCCTCAGTGGCCAGAGCCTGGGTAGAAATGCCCCCGTGCAGCTATGAGTGTGGCCAGCGGTAAACCAGGGTCCCAGCACAGACCCTGTGACCCTGCAGGACACTCAATGCCTCTGCGCCCGACCTCCTCATGCGCGGAGGGGAACGAGGGTCATTAGGCGCATCTTACAGAAGCAGCGCAAGGATTATGCGCCAGGCATCCCCAGTCCTGGAAAGTTGCCACTGTCATTGACTAAGACGCCCTTTGGTTGTTGGGATTCTAGGAGGTTTTCGTTTTTATGACCAAACGGGCCTCAGAAGAGGTCAGCCGAGATGCTCTGTCCATTCCCCTGAGCTCAACGGGGACCACGTGGCTTTCACAGAGTCTCAGGTAAGATTTGAGAATGCCTGTGTTTGGCAGAAGAACACGGGTGCGGCCCACGTGAGGCAAGAGCAGGGCGGCTGCGTCTGTAACTGGTCACCTCTGTCAACATCATCTTGTTGGCCATGAAAACAGTCACTGGGTCGCTGCAGCAGGCACCAGGGCTCCAGAGGGAGCAGGATGTTGTCCACGTCCTGGCAAGATGAGCAGGCTAGAGGGAAGGCAGCCTCCACAGACACTCCGATGCCACGTCACCAGAGCCACGTCACCAGAGCCACGTCACCAGAGCCACGGCCAAGCCACTGGATGAGCCAAGGGCACCTACTCTATGCTGGGCGGGCACGTGGCGAATAGAACAGCCGCAAACCAAACCAGACCTCCCTCCACCTTACACCCTGGCCTCAAAACAATCATCACGAGGTGGGGACGATCACAAGGTGACAACTGAGTGCTACGAGTGTGTGTACTGGGGATTCAGGGGTCGCTGAGGGAGAGGTGAGCCGTGAAGCAGCAGGAGAGTCACCTGGGCAGAGCAAGGGAAGACCTGTCCAGAAGAGATGTCCGCAGGCAAAGTCCTGGAGGGAGCCGGAGGCGAGTGGGCAAAGCAGCCAGGCTGGGCTGGAGGGGAAAGGAGGGCCTGGCCACGGGGGCCTTCAGGCCACGGGGGAGCTCTGGGCTTGCCCTTGAGTGTCCAGGAAGGCTGCGAAGCACGAAGCTGGCAGTCCACTTTGATGCGTCTGTGTGTGGAGGGGGAGGTTCAGAGACTTGGTAAGAAATCCCTACGCCCCACTACAGAGGCGGGGGGCAGGGGGGCAGAGAGGAGAAAGGACTCAGTGACCACTAGGGCGGCCAGACCTGGAGGTGGGTGGGGAGGAGGGAGGGCGAGTCAAGAAGAGCTGGAGGGACGGCTTGAGGGAGGAGGAGAGGAACCTGGGAGGTTCCCTAAGAGCCACCCCGCAGGCTCAGGGGCAGCAGGTGAGGGTTGGGGTGCGTTTTAGGGAGGGAGCAGGAAAGGGCGTCTCAGTGAGGCTGTGGACATGGGCAGTGAGGCGGGGGAGAGACAGACTTGCCCCCAGGTGACCCGGGGGTGCCAGGGGCTTCCAGGTGGAGAAAGGGCAAAGCCGGGCAGGAGGGGGAGCCCACCCCGGGTCCCGGCATGCGATGCTCAGGTGCTGAACTTGGGGCACCTCTGCAGAGCTGTTCTCTGCGCCCCTAAGTGAAACCATGTTGCTGGAAACACGGGAAGAAGTGGGGTCGGCAGGTCCTGAGGGACGAGGTGTCGGAGGACCCCAGGGACCTGAAGATAGAGGACGGGGCTTCAAGGTCTGGGAGGAAGGGGAGTCCTGGGTCCTGTGGGAACTAGCATGAGGGGGAGCCTCATGCGTGTGAGGGAGGGTGATGCCCGGACCTCGCTTCCGATGGAAGACAGCCTGTGAGGGTGGGGTGAAAGAGGGAAGGGGACAGAGGTCCCTGCTCAGGCACAGGCGGACCCAGAGCATCGCAGAGAGGAGGAGCCAGAGGAAGCCACCCAGGAGCCCGGGCGCCTCATGACCCAACAAAGCTGCACCCCACCCGCCCCGGGTTCCAGACTCGGCAGTGCCGGCCCGTCTCTTGGCAACTGGATTCAGGGCCATGGCACTCCTAACACCCCAGGGAGTGAAAGAAGTCTTCCAATTCCAGGTGAAGAAAGAGAAAGCGGGCCTTTTGAGACAAAGTTTGCCCCATGGGTCCAGAAATGGGGCGTGTGCCAGGGGTCACTCCAGAGCGGTGTCTCTTCAGGGTGGTGTCTCTTCAGGGGACACCCTGAGCATCCACCTGTCTCTCACACCACCTGTGATGGGTGCGGCCACATTCCAGGCTCGCCTACCCCTGCTGGTGGCCAGTGTTGGGGCCTGCAGGGACAGCCCCTGGTGTGGCAGAGCCTGCTGGAGAGAATGGGGGACTGCTCCTGCCTCCCCAGGAGCCCCGGCACCCTGGGGGCTCTCTGCATTTGAGCCCACAAGTGTGGGGAGCGGGGCCCTGAGCTGACTTCAGGGAGAAGTGCAGCTGGACCGCCTGGGTCAGGTAGAGGAGAAGAGGTTCTGGGACCGAGGACAGGGATCGGGCTCCCTGTGCCATCAGAGCAGTCATGGTCCCCAGGGTCCTCCCAGCCAGAGCATCCTGGCCCCAGGAGACTGACAGCCCTTGCAGGGTGGGTGTCCCCAGGGTCTTCTCAGGGGGGAGGAGACCATCACCCCATACCTTTTTCTACCCTGCCCCCTTAAGTGGCATTTGCATCTCCTACATGTGTCGGTGACCTATAAGAACCTTCTGGAAGGGCTAAAGAACTCTCAAGCAGCGGGGTCTCACTGCACACCAGGGGAAAGGCTTCCCATCAGTCTTTCCCTCCCGCTCTGCCCGAGTTCCACGGCTGAGCTTCATTCCTCCCGTGAAACATCGCCCGCCAGACGCCTTGTCTGTCTGTCAGTCATCTGCACATTAGTACGAATTCCATGATCCCATCAACAGGGAAACCCGTTGAAAGTAGTCTTGGGGGAAAATCAACTTGTTTTAGGGAAGAGGGATAAGGCCGTGAATCAGAGCTTGAGACCCACTGAAGGCCCGCAAACCTGGGCCTGCGGTGGCTGCGTCAAGTCTCGGAGAAGTGAGTTCAAACCAAAGAACAAGTCCCCAGAGAGGAGAGAGAAAGCGGAATTCTCCCGGGAGACCCTCCCTCCCTGTCCCCGGGGTCGGAGGGCCTGGGGGTGGGCCTCCACGGTATCCAGCCGCGGCCTCTCACTCCTGCAGAAACCTAAAGGTCGGGAGCACCTGCGGAGACTCCTGAACTGGGAAGCGTTTGACGAGTTGAGGGACGCGCGCAGGAGCATCCTGCTGGACACCATCTATGACAGCGTCATCTTCGCGGTGGGCAAAGGCTTCCCGTGGGTGGAGGTGGTGCAGGTGGTCAAGTTCACGGAAGAGCTGCTCAAGGAAACCAAAGGTATGGACACGGGCTGGGGGCGCCCGTGAGCCCCAGGTCGCCGCCCCGAGAGCCCGGGGAAGCCAGACCCTTCCTCCCACTAGAACTGGCTCCTCTCATGCTGTCCAGGCCTCCCCAGGGCTGGAGGCTCCTAGGTGTCTGCCCAGCTGTGAAGCTCGAGGCCCTGCGGACCAGGCCTGCGCTAGCTGGGGTTTGCGTCTGTGGCGGTTCACTTTTGCTTCAATGGGTCACGTGTCACCCCTGCTTGCAGCCCCTCGTGGACTTCCCGTGGTGCCCTGGAGGACAGCGAGCCTCCTGGGATCAGGCTTGCTGGTGGAATGTGGGGGGCTCCAAATTCCAGCAAGCTTCAGGTCTGAGCTTGCTGGCCTGACATGGAGCGGTCAGGTACATCTGGGGTGCGTCTGGGCCACCCCTGCCCTGTGCACGGCTGTCATGGGGAAGGAGCCCGAGAGCACGTGGTCACACCCATCCACCTCTTGGGCTCTGAAAGGCAGACTCATTTATGGAGCAAATACCATGTTCAGAATGGCCCTCTGTGCTGCCTCCGCCGCAGTTAACTTGGCCAAGAATCTCCCGAAGGGTCCGACTCAAGGGAGAAGGCAGTGAGAAGGGGGGCATTCCTAAGAACCCCCTCTTGGCATCCTTACCGGTGACCAGATGGAAAAGGCCAAAAGACACTTCCCTGCCGAAGTGGACCCAGCAACGTCAGTGAGAGGCCACACAAGAGCCGGGTGTCCCGGTGGGACAGCAGTGAGAAGCCACCTCCTTGTGCGTTGTGGCCAGCACGGGCCCAGCACCTGCATCTCCCTGAGGAGCCACATTCAGAACGTGGCCCCAGGTCTTCCCAGTAAGCCTCTGACAGCCCAAGGCCCCCGAGGCCCGGCCTGAGAGCGGCTGAGGAGACCGGGCCCCAAGGCGCCTGGGGCCCCACTCAGGCCGGGGACCTGCTGTGGCTAGAACTGCCCTTCTGTCCTGATGGTCAGGTTGGGTGTGTCCTTGCTTCAGGAGGCCCCAAGTGGGGACCCTGGGGAGAGTGGGCTTCGTGTGGCCTACATATCCCAAGTCGACTGGGAAAAGAACTGGTATTTTTGTAACTTTTTTATGTTTAATTTGTTTTATCTTGAAATTATCTCCCAAGAACGTAAAATGGGGTTGTGACCACGTAGGGGACGTTGGAAGGTCCTCCTTGGGCTTTCTGGGCATGATCAGCAGCGGCCACGGACCCAGGCCACACGACGCCCCCTCTCCCTGTCTTCCCCGTACGGTGACTCTGTCCCTGATGATGCCACCGTCCCTCACACAGGGTGCCCCGCGTGGGATGCACATGGCCCCGTCCGGATGCAGCCTAAGCTCACTGTCGGGTCCCAGCACCTACCCCAGTGTCCTCCCCTGAGCTCACCACCTCTCACCATCCCACCAGGCACCACGTCCTCCTCCGTCTCTTGGTGGCCGCTGCGTCAAGTCTGAATTCTACAGCCCACTCACCAAACCGCAGGGTGAATTTTCAGACACACGGTCCCACCAGGTCCCTCTTGGAAGCTGCTCGGGGCTCCCACTGCCCGTCGGGCAGGCGAGGATCAGCCTCTTGCTCTGCTCACCACACGTCCCTCTCCACCCAAGGTGCAGAGCTGCACCAGCCCACACCTCTGGAGCAGTGTCTCCTGGCCGACACCTGCTGCTCCTGGTGGGGAGGCTCTCTGGGTGGCAATCTCCTCAGCAGCATTGCACAGAGACTCTCAGAGAGCATGAATAAGCTGGACCCCCAGAGGCAGAGGATAGATTGCCTCCATCACCTCTGAAAATTCTCTTCCTGGCCCTAGCAGAGATTTCTCCACAGTCAATGCCAGTCTCAGGATGAGCTCTGAATGTTTCCGGAGTCCTAATGCTATCATTTCCTAGCTGTGTGACCTTGACAATTGCCTCAACCTCTCTGTGCTTCAGATCACGCATCTATAAAATGAGGATGACTGTGGGGTTGTTGTGTTCGTTTCTATAAAGCATTTGGAAGAGTGACTGGAGTGTTGGGTGGGGTTTGGGCCACACTCCCAAATGGTGAAGTTCTGAAAAATAAAAATCCTCAAAGTCTAAAATTCTGAAGAAAAAATTCTGGAAAAAATAACTTAAAAATATTTATCAAAAAGCCTTTTTTTCCCCTTCTTTAACAAGGAAATTTGTTAGAGAGACATGTAGACCTGAAAGATCTGGGTGTTGTGGCACACGCCTGTGACCCCAGAGGCACAGAAGGCTGAGCCTGGAGGATTGAGGGTTTGAGGCCAGCCTCAGCAACTTAAGATTCTGTCTCCCCACCAGAACAAAGTGACATAACACTTCACAGACCACTTTACAAAAGAAAATAGACAATGTTTTCGAGGTATAACCCCTCAGGCGTACACGTGACAGTAGCACAGGTCTAACAGCTACCAGCCAGTGAACCAAATCCAAGAAGAAACAGTGCAAAGTAAAACGCCAGGAGATGCGCTGTGATGGTGAGCACCAGCGCACACCTGCAGTCGTGTGAAGCACCTGGGCAGACCGCCACGGCGGATCACTCAAGAACCACGTCAGGTCACAACTCATGTCCAGTTTCCTGGAAAGCCGAGACCCTGAGACATTTCATCCTTCACAGAAGCCAGTGTATAAACATGACACCTCACAAAAAGAAAAAAAAAAGACATCTTTATTAAGGAAATCTCAACATTTTCAAATGACACAACGCACACATAAAGTCCTCGTTGAATGACGCACTTTCAAGGAGTCGAATTTGTAAAAAAACAAAACAAAAAAAAAACACCTGCCTGTGATGAATCAGGACTCTCTAAAAGCCTTTGCACGTTTATACCTGCATTGGAAATGACGCAAAGATGAAATGAACAGCATAGAAAGTGGTAAAAGTCACCAACACTGACCAACTAAAACAGTGGAGAAAAGAACTGTTTCAAAGAAGAATGCAAATTTTAAAAGGTCAAAAGCTAGAAAGGCAAAGAGCAGGATGATGATGTTCACGATCATTGACCAGATTTCAAAGTCTCCCATCAGAACCCGCAGTTTTGTTTTTTTTCTTTTAGGACATGGCTCCCTTTGAAGAATACGCTCACATTTGCTTTCTACTTGGTCCACCTTTGGTGAAATTCTCCTGTGACTCCACATCCACCCGCGTGGGCCTCCCTGTGAAACTGTCCCCCGGTCTGGGCTGTGGCCTGGTGTTCTTGGGGAGTGTGGAACTCACTCCTCTTGCACTCGCGTGCAGACCCCAAATACAGCACCAACATTTTGAAGACCAAACAGGGACGCTGGTGCCTGTCCTCTCATCCTCCTCGTACATAATTATTTTCAAACTCGTCAGTAACGTCACTGGCTGCTTCGGGCAAACGCAGCTTTAATTCATTCAAAGCTCCCGGAGTCCCATCAGTTGAAGGAAAGCCAACGCAGACAAAGGACGCATTTGTAAACTCAAGCTCTTATTGTTGTTGTATCCACTCATCTGAATTTTCTGCCAAATGCTCTGGGCTGAATGGGAAAACTAACTTTATTGTAACACCTTGAAATGTGCCTTTAGAAGCCTTGATCACACCTGATTCCAGATGTCGTCACGGTGTGGAGATTCCATTCAAATCCTTCTCTTCTGCCAAGTCTACCAAATCTCCAGATAAGCATTTTTAAAGTGCGATGCTTTCCCCAGTTGTGATACATGATCCTGCAAATAAGGTCTGGAATTCGGGGATCTAACAGGAGCATGAATTGTATATTTGATTTTAAAAAGTGAGATTGGTTTTGAAAGTGCCATCTATTTGCCAAAGTCAAACGTGCTAGTTTTTGTTGTCTTGAGACAGGTTCTCACTCTGGTGCCCAGGGGGGCCCTGTGCTGCTGGGCTCAAGGGATCCTCTTGCACCTGAAGTCGGTTTTAGGCTGTTAGTAGTAAATAGAAGTCTGTCTCTGTCCATAAGCAGATTCCCAAGCGAGAACAGTCCAGCCTCTAATGCGTTTTGTAGCACTGGGGAGGAGCTGTCATGCACATCCTTGCTTTAGAAGGTCACCAAGACCCTTGATGTCTGCCTTCTCTGACAAAGGCCAGTTTTCGGTGCTAGCGTGGGGAGCCCAGCAGGACGCGACTGAGTAATTTAGCGACTACCCTGCCTGCAACCCAGAACGCGGATCCCCTCTGGACCTCCAGCTTTCCCGCTCCCGTGCAGAGCCTCATTCTCCTCCTGCGTGGGAACTGCAGCTGGGGATGGGGGCCTTCAGGATTCCAACTTTCAGGACTGCACCCAGAGCCGCCCCAGGCCCTCTTCATCGTGCCTCTTGGTTCAGCGGCTCCCTGCAGCCATGGCCAGCCGGGACCCTCCCCACGCCCAGGATGTCTCGCAGTGCTCAGGGTGCCCTGGTCTTGCGTCCACGTCGGCCCTCCTGCGCCGCCTCGCCCACCCTCGAGAGCTTGTTCACCCACGTCCTGCCCACTCAATTCAGACTCAACTCCCCAGGGTCCTCCACCTGGACCTCAAGGAAGGCTGGACCCAGAGAGACTTGAATCCCCCCCAGGGGAGGGGCTGCACCTGTTCGTTTTTGTCCCCTCTGTCCTCAGAGCCGGACAAGGCACATGGCGTCCACTAGGACTAAGGAATGAAAGGGAGGACCTCGACGCCCGCAGGGACACAGGTGCCCGGGGAAGGGGAGGCCAGGCCGCCCGCCCTGTACGGGTTGCTCCAGGGAGATGTGTGCTCAGTGGAGTTAGAAGCATCAGAGCAACGAGGCACCAGACCTGCAGCCAGAAGGTCTGGGTTCAAATCCCACCTCCTCGCCTGCTCCTGCTAACCCGGGGAACGCTGGGTACCTCTCTGTGCCCCTGTCTCCTCCTCTGTGAAGTGAGATGGTAACAGCTCCAACCCAAAGGGCAGTGGGCAGGATTAAACAGGACAGGACATGTGAAGCCCACAGCAGGTGACTGGCACAGAGGAAGCGCTCACTCACTGTTAGCCACCACTGCTCCCCAGTCCAGAGGTGG